GGTGGTAAAAAAAAATCTTCAATTTCTTCACCTTTGGCTTTGGTGGATGGTGTGTAAATTTGAATAATAGTAGTATTAACTGATCTTCCTTGTAGGCATATGGATATTATCCTATCACTGACAGCATTGTGCTTCAAGATAGATCTTGATACATTCTTTGTGAAGATGAATGTCATGCCATTCCTCTTCAATTTGTCATTCTCAGCATAGTAGATCATATGGCTGTCTGATTAAAACTGGCCAAAACCAGTCCATTTCAGCTCACTGATGCCTAGGATGTCAATCTTTATGTGTTCCATTTCACTTTTGACAACTTCCAATTTTCCTAGATTCATAGTTCATATATTCCATGTTCTGATTAATGGATGTTTGCAGCTGTTTCTTCTCATTTTGAGTCATGCTCCATCAACAAATGGAGGTCCTAAAAGCTTTACTCCCTCCCCATCATTAAGGTCAGCTTTACTCTGAGGAGCCAGCTCTTCCCCAGTTGTATTTTGAATGCTTTCCAACCTGAGGGACTCATCTTCTAGCACTATATCAAACAATGTTTTAGGGCTATTTATAAAATTTTGCAGTAATGTATCAGACAGTGTTTCACTGCTATTCATAAGGTTTTCACTGGCCTATTCTTTGAAAAGTGAATGGCCCCTTCCTTCTTCCATGTCCGTCTTATTCTGGAAGCTCTGCTGAAACCTGTTCAGTTTAACAAACACTTATTGAACACTCAGATGTGCTAGGAAGTATGCCAAATGCTGTTCATGCATTATCTCTTAATCCTCTGACAACATAAAATACTTAAGTTTTTTTTTGTTTTTTTTTCCAATACATAAAGTGGTGCTCAGAGAATTTTAAAATCTTGCTTAAAAGCTGGAACTTCAGTCTTTTAACCAGCATTGCCTGGACTATGCTCTAAACTTAAAGACCCTCGTCTAAGCACACATAGCTTCTGCACCCATACTTCTGTCACAGATCATATTTTGTCACATATAAATGAAATTAGGTTTCAATGTGTCTGTTCCTATTAAACTATAAGCTACTTGAGGGCAGGATCTGTGTCATATTCATTTTTATACCCATAGCGGTTTACATAGTCCTGGCAATACTGGTTAAAAGACTGAAGTTCCAGCTTTTAACCAAATTTTTTTTTTTTTTAATTGTGACTTGGGTGAAGATTTACAGAGCAAATTCACTTTCCATACAGCAGTTCACATATACTTTGTCTCATGACATTGACCACAGTTTACCACAATG